CGCGGATTCCACCAATCACGTACCACGTTGCAGACGAATATCGCGAAGTCCCATTTGACTTTCTCCGTACATTCCCAATTTAACCTTTAATAAATATCGATAACACGTTTAACTATTTTCTTATCGAATGTTAAAAACTTAAGGAAAAATTGAGGAACCCGCAGCACCCTGAAATACTCGTCCCTGACAACGTTCTACAATTGGTGGTGGGGATAAAGAGGGGCTGGCTTGTACCGGCGGCGCCTGCAGTGACCGGCTGGTGTCTGTGAGCACCCGGGTGTCAAAAACGTGAACACGGAAACTCGTAAGATTTCAAGTGTTATTTTCCTTGAGAAAGACGTCGCGATCGTTCAACGTTGGCGATCCGCTTGGTTTTTGATACTACAGAAGAGTCATCGTATATTTATTTCGATTTCAGTCGGTGGCACGTGACGTGTATCTTAATCCTTGCTCAGCTCTTCTCTCTCGAGCCGTCTGTCTCTAGTAAGATCAGGGGACAGGTCAGTGTTGTGGTGTGACAGCAATCGACTGGCTACGATACTGCTGCACGGGCAACCCTTGCGCTCTTTTTCTCCAAGGCTCACGCGGTTTTCCATGTCAACGACACGCGCGCTCCTACCAAGGCCAGCGTGCTACGCCCCGCACAGAGTAGCCTCTGTTGTCTTCTTCTTCTTCGTCTTCGTCTTCGTCTTCGTCGTCGTCGTCGTCGTCGTCGTCGCTACTACTGCTGCTGTTGCTGCTGCTACTGCTGCTGCCACCGCCGCTGCCGCCGTCATCGTTGTCGTCGTCGTCGTCGTCAATCGACAGCTCCACATAATCGTGTCCACCGTTGATTGTCTGTCGCTGTCTGCTGCGCTGCGTCGGTGGTTAGACCAACTGCCTTCATCGTTGTGGTCATCATCCCGGTGGTGGTTAGTTTGGGAAAAGGCCGGCGAACTAGCGAATACCTGTACGCTTATTACCAGGGTGAAGAGAAGGAGACACTGCAGCGTCGCTCACGCAGGCCTGAGATGAGCGACCATGGCTGCATACACTTGAATAATTTCAAAGCAGCCAAGGGTATCCAGCCGTACAAAGTGATACACTCCTATTTTGTGACCAGCACGTCCACCGAGGCACGCGTAAGAAAGGTGCGACTATCTTTTTCTTGCGTGATCCGTGGTCAAGGTTCTCTCTCTTTCTCTCTCTCTTTCTCCTTTTCTCTTCTCTTTTCCCTCTCTGCCCCTCTGTCTCTCATTTTCACGTATGCTTCCTGCATTGTAGCGTTTCCCAACAGTTTCTCATTTTCCATCGCGTTAACGTTAATCTGCAGTTTGTTTCTCTCATACATGATAAAAGAACGATGGAAATATGAGAAATCGTTGGAAATGTGAAGAGCGAGTGCATTCTTTCTTTGTCGCTTATGATACTCGTTAGTCGCAATCTTAAATCATGGTCTATGCAAATTGTAGACAGAGTGACAACTCAATTTGCAAATTTGCGCATATCGTTTGCGCAAACTTCAAAAGCGGTATGTTTCTATCTCCACGCATTTCCGAGTATAAAGATGTCTGTTGGACAATTCTGATGTTTTATTGCAACTTTTTATTGCCTTCTACTTCGAGTATATTAGTATAGACGATCAATTTTCTGTTTCTTCTGTTAATCGACGCATCAAACGTTTACTAATAATTCATTTCACATTTCTTTTTATTTATTTTTTCTCTATCTTTTATCATTTTTTGTAAGGTATTTCTGTTACTTTGAAGCGAAATGATTTAATACGAAAATGATTATTACTTGTTAAATGATTATTGCTTTAAAGTAATTTTTGAAAAAAACTGTGCATTAAAAAGATTGAACGAAATTATTCGTATAAACGTGAACAAAGAAGAAACTATAAAATTTTGTATTATATTACTCTCATGGATGATTTGTTTAAAACGGATTTAAAAATGGCCGCTGTATAGAATTACTCTGTCGGTATAAAGTTCTGGCAGATTCGTTACTCGGGTAAAGTAACGGTATTATAGATTTATGATTCTACCTGTACTTTTGGAACAATGAATATTTGCATCGGCATGTAGCCCAATAATGTAATTGTAAATAATATTTAATTAAATAAATCTTGGCGTCATAGTTTTTTTAGGAAAGAAATTTGTATGATAACATTCTTTTCCTGGAACAATACTTTTATCTAATCTGTATGAACGCTCTTTAATAATATATAATTTTTCATCTTTTCTTTATGATAAGTAAATGATATGAATAAGTAAATGATTTCTGTATTTTTAGGCCGTTAGTTGTTTATGTCACACATGTAAGACTTATAAAGACCGCCTACATTCTTGTCTTCATTGTATATTCTTTGGCTGTTATGTAAAAGGTCATATACAAGAACATGCAAAGACAAAAAAACATTTTTTAGGTAATTATACATAAATTATATACGTATTGGTACATAAAATAGAACAATTGTTTAAAAAACACTTATTACATATATATATGTTTTGTTTGTTGCAGCTGTTGATCTTTGTTACGGAAATATTTTGTGCTTCCAATGTGGAGATTATGTATATGATAGGGAGCTATTAGCAGTTGCTAAAGCACAGTGGAGTGAATCTGCAAAATCATTGAGCTTTGGAGAGTTTTATCGATCATGGGAACCAACGCAGATAGAGGCAGAATTATTGAGAAAACATCCACGCAGAAGGCGTGTGGTCGAAAATTCTACCATAGGTAAACTATACAAATACACTTGAGTATGAAATATAACTTGCAATTGTAAATGGAAATTCAATGTATATTAATTAGCCCTTCATGTTTCTAGGTTTAAGAGGACTTATAAATCTTGGAAGTACATGTTTCATGAACTGCATAGTGCAGGCACTCATACACACACCACTGTTAAGAGATTATTTTCTTGCTGACCGTCATCACTGCCCACAGCCGACACGCTGCCTGGTCTGTGAAGTATCCCATCTTTTTCAGGAATTTTATTCGGGTAGCAAAACACCGCTGACGCTTCATAAGCTCCTCCATTTGATTTGGACACATGCTAGACATTTAGCAGGTTACGAACAGCAGGATGCCCATGAATTCTTTATAGCTACACTAGATGTTTTACATAAACATTGTGAAGCAGCACCCATCTTAGTAAAAGATAATCCACATCACTGTAACTGTATCATTGATCAAATCTTTACCGGTGGACTTCAAAGTGATGTGGTTTGTCAGGCATGCAAGTATGATCGAAATGTACAGTATGATGTAATATGTCTCGTATCACTGAAGAATCCGTATTGATGTAATAATTTTTTAGCGGAGTGTCCACTACAATAGATCCGTTCTGGGATATATCTTTGGATTTGGGTCCAGGGGCTAGTGCATCAGGTTCCGATAGTTCTGGTCCTCCTACTTCGTTATTAGATTGTTTGGAGAGATTCACGCGTGCTGAACATTTGGGATCTAGCGCAAAAATAAAGTGCAGTAATTGTCAGACGTATCAAGAGAGTACCAAGCAATTAACTATGAGGCAACTCCCTATCGTGGCCAGCTTTCACTTAAAAAGATTCGAGCACTCTAGTATACAGCATAAAAAAATTTGTACGTTTATCTCGTTCCCAGAACAATTAGACATGACTCCATTTATGTCGCATAGACGGAACGGCAATAATAACAGTGCAATGATAGATGGATTACCAAAGAATGGAGAAGACATGGCGTTTAGCGACAATAGATATTCTCTATTCGCGGTAATAAATCATGAAGGATCTTTGGAGACTGGACACTACACTGCCTTCATACGGCAGCAGAGAGATCAATGGTTTAAATGTGATGATCATTTGATTACAAGAGCAAGGTTAAAAGACGTCTTGACTAGCGAAGGGTGAGTTCATGGCATTGGTCACAGTGCCATTAGTACCATTACCAAGGATCCAGTGAAAAAAGCTTTCCTTTTCAGGTATCTCCTTTTTTATCATAAACAAATTTTGGAGTACGGTCGAAACACGAAGGTGTAAAATTTTAGATTATGTAACTAATTTATTTATCATGATGAATTACGAAAGATAGATTTAAGTTTCTTTTAGCATTTTAAGAAAAAGAAACAGCTTGTTCCTTCTGGAAACTATTTCGTGTCTTTAATCCAGCTCGTATATCAATTTATGCGACGGGAGATAAGAGTAATAAATCGAAGGCCTCAAAAATGAAATTTCAAACTTTTATTCGAAGTGATTGTTAGAAAGTGATTATGGACGGAGATATTTTCAATGAAATTAAAAAAAAAAGGAAGAAAATTTTGACAAATGGTTATACTATTATGCTTTGATCATGCGATTAGAAAGAAACAATAAACTAGAATCAAATAGTCAAAATTGAACAGATGTCTGTTAGCATAAATATTTGTCATGATATTAATCTTAATTAATTTTTGAGATGCAGAAATGTATGTAAAAGAATTATGCTCGTTCTATTATTTTCTATTTTTTTTTTTTGTATCGTTGTATTAATTATATTTGACGAAATCTAGGCTGGTGCATACGGTGATCGATTTCTCTATTCGTGTCCTAAAGTAACATAAGTGTAATTTTAAGATTAGCTCAATTTTTTTAAATGACCGATCGCATTTTTGTATATCGCTGACTGTTATTATATTCCTGCCCTGACACTTGTATACACAAAATCACCAAGGATGGATCACATGATTCGAAAGTATTGTAATTAATAAGTTCGATTTTTAAGTACGATCAAATTAAGAAAGCATTTTATTCACATGATTCATCGTGTCAGTCATCCTTTGGTGATTCAATTTTGTACAAATGAAATAATACATATAGCAAAAATAGAGGGATAATGATATTATTCATATACAAGATGAATTATTTCGCTCGACTGTGTATAATAAAAGAAGAATCACTGTTTGACAAATTTCTTTCTGGTGTTGCCCGGTTTTCTCTCAGAAAAAGAAAAAACTAAAAAAAAAAAAAAAAAAGAACTGTAGAATGATTCAAAACTTAAAAAAATTTCGAATGAAAGAGAGATGTTAAAAGGAATCGTGCGTAATGCTTTCAATGATATGTTAATTTTCTGTACGGCAGTCCCTGCAAAAAGTGCCAAGTGTTCATTGCACTTGTAGTTTGTAATTGTGTGTGCTTATAGTTGTAGCAATCCCTTATTTTTTGATGGATTTCTATTATTGTGTTCATTGGTGAAAAGTGTTTCGTAATATTTCCACAAAAACACACGTAACTAGAGTAATCATTAATGACAAAATAATATCTAAGAAACAAGATCGTAGACAGATACTTATTGTATCGTGTCGATGTTAAGAACGATTCGCTTATATGTATGTATGTATGTAATAAAAATATACGATTTTTTGTTGAATTGTTAAGATTATTGAAAAGGTTTCGATGTATAATTAAATACGAAAGCAGCAAGATGCTTTTACTTTATTTAATAAACTGCGAGGGAAATGTGAAATTTACATCGTTGTATGTAAAGTTACGTCATTGTGTGTGTCGTAATAACTGCACTTGGGTGCCCATTCTCATGAGCACGTATGACCAATAGTACTATACATTTGGAAGTTCGTATTACGCGTGCAGTTGTAACATTTTGTATAAGGCTGAAGTAAATGTATACAGAAATAAAGTTATATTTCGTCGAGAATCCATTTTAAAAAATTAATCTTCTCTTTCCCTGAGATTTATGTGCGTATTTCAATTAAGAGTTAAACTTTGCTATCACTTGTATCAAATACTGAACATACAGATAAGTTTATTATCATGTATGATGCAATCCTATCACGATTGTATACAACTTCAAATATAATAAAATCTATATTTTCTATTATGAAATTTTCATTGAATCGCAATTACTGAATAGATTTCCGGATGAACTTTCAGTCTACATATGTATCATAAAGATAATCAAAGTTCAAATTTGAATCCTGAACCGCGCATTTCAGACTAAAGAAATACATAATATATATGTATATATAAAGAGAACAAAAATATCAGTAAGATAATAAGGAATAAAAAAATATTTATTAAAATATCTTTGGGCTAAAATATCAGTTAGAATTGAATACTGTATTTTCTTCAATTAACGTGGTAGTAATGTAGGAAAGATGGACGCCCTGACGTTTGGCTCTCACAGGTAAACGGCCGATCGGTTCACATAAATTTTCGAAAAACTTTCAATTAAGTAAGTGTTGCCTCACGGAATTCTATTTTGTTTTTTGTAGGCTAGTTCATTTAGATCTCAAGGGTGCCCCGCCGCGAGTCTGTTATTTCGAAAAGGTCTGTTACCTGAATAAATAAATCGAGCAAATAATTGAATAATTATTGTTTACACTCGTCTCTTATCTCCGTTCTGATAACAGTATCATTGAATGAAAGTTACAACGACACTCAGCTTTTTTTTCCTATAGCTTTTCGAATATCGCCGACACTCGATTTTTTTCGTACAATCAATACCTTTTCGTTTGTGATAAACATCTGGATTTAAAATGAACTTGTATGCGCAACATGGCACAATTTTCATATATGTATACTGTCATATGTATATGTATATGTGTATGTAGTTATCACTGTGCACAATAATTATGTTAATGTAATGCTTGCATATCTTGATTTTTAACAGTTATGATGATCTAACTGTTAAAAATTGATAATTAATATTGCAGCTGTTCCCATTATTAAGAACATGGGGTGCGACTGGGCTCTTACTAGAATGGGAAGACACATTTCCATACAATCGGGAGCTTTCTCATATAGGAAGCAATGGATTAAGCAGTCTAATCAGTGGATATACAGTACAGGAGGCCAGACATATTCTACAAATTGCAGGGGATTGTGGTTTAGCAGTTGTTCCATTAGTACAAACATTTGGTCACATGGAGGTATTTAAAATTAAAGTAATATTGTAAAAAACTTATGGATATTTGAAGATTAATAACAAAGATGATTGCAGTTTGTTTTAAAACATGATGAATGGAGGTCCTTGAGAGAAGTGGAGCACTTCCCAAGCTCAATTTGTCCGTCTAATCCAAGAACATTGTCTTTGGTAAAGAACTTGATTCGACAAATAGTTAATTTTCATCCAGATATACAATATTTGCACATTGGTGCAGACGAAGTTTGGCATTTAGGCCTTTGCTCAGTTTGTATAAAACGTGCTGCCTCTAGTAAATATGGGAAACCGTCTCTGTACCTGGAACACGTTTTGGCTATTGCACAATATGTACAAGAAACATATCCATACTTAAAGATTATCATATGGGATGATATGTTAAGATCGATAGATTTACAAGTTTTGAACGGTATCTTGATGATTTGTTCATTTTATTTCATGCCACATATTATTTCATAAAAGTACTCTCTATAAATTTCAGATCATTACATTGGGAAATATGTGGAACCTATGATTTGGCACTATAATCCTAGAGATAATTTTTCTCTACCTCATGGTAAGGTTTCTACTATTTAATTTTACGAATGGTATTTTATTATTGTAAGACTACATAGTATTGTTTATTAGAACTTTGGGACAAATACACTGCAATTTTTCCCCGTATTTGGGCGGCTACTGCATTTAAAGGTGCTACTGGATCTTCTCAGCATGTACCAATTATAAGACATCATATAAGCAATCATGAAAAGTGGTTAGAGGAATTAAGTATACACGTAAATAAAGTTCATGAATTTCGAGGAACAGTATTCACTGGGTGGTCAAGGTAATTTTTTTTCAAATTCATAATTAAACAAATTCTATCGATTTTCTATTCTAGGTATGATCACTACGCAACATTCTGCGAATTATTACCTACCGCAATACCATCGTTGGCATTATGCTTAAAAGTCTGGCTTCATGGTTATTCTGAACAAATTCACAATCAAGTGGCTAAAAATTTAGGATATATAGATCACCCTTTACACATAACACCACAGCTTAGACCTGCTCCAATACCCAGTAACCTACTTTTTCCTGGATGGCAAGTTGCAGTAGGAGTAGAATGGTTTTTAAATTTCCGAACTAAATTTCATAATATTGTTTCCAGTGAACAGTAAGTTGAATGCGAGTAAGAAACACAATTATGATATTCCGTTTTTCGTCTTTCATGTTTCGTATATTAACTTCAACAGAATATCCACGTGGATGAATCCATGGCAAGTCGCAAATAATTATACAAATCCTATGCAGTTAGAAAATTTAGTACCCGCTTTTACGGAGTAAGTTGATTTATTTTCACAGCAATTGAGATAAAAATAGTACAACATCAAAAATATCTTTTTTTTTTACAGACTTCTATTAGAATTATCTTCCTTAGAGGGATATTTAAGATTTCAAATGGAAAGTATTTTCTTTCCATCAATGATCGATGAATGGATAGGTACAAATATTCAGCCCATCAAAGGGAAACTTGTGGAATTAAAACAAACTACAGAAAATCAAATCAAAATAAACAGTCGAGTTTAATATTTTAAATAAGTATTTGCAGAATTTCTGCTTTAGATCTCAATGACCAACTTTAATACAAGAGACGAATACGAAACGATAGGCTGATGAAAAGTACGAAAATATTTAGTAAATTATAAAATTTTATCTCGTAAGTAGATATAGGGAAGTAAAAGTAGATATTTAAAAGTGATATTTCGTGCGATATGCACAGGATATAATTTTATAAGAGAAGGAACGATTATTTTAATACTTGGCTTAGGGACGAGTGAACTTGTGACAATGATTTTGTCACTGAGCTTTGTCATTTTGTGAGATGTTCTGTGATACTTGGCTATGAAAGGATTATTGTAATGCAATTAAGCTCAATAACCATATTTCTTGGTCATTGTGCTTATCACATGTGCTTCTAACTATCTACGTTTCTTATTATATTCATAGTATGTGCAAATATTTTTTGTACTCGATTTAAAGATATCTCTTTGAAAATTTTTCAAAACATATACTGATCAACTGCAATTAAAAAGATTTTATGTAATACTTCTGATACATTTCATGGAATCTTTTTTATCACTAAACTAGTCTGATAGTTGTTTGGGTGATATTCATCAGTTATCTATTAAATACAGTAACAAATTATAACAACATAGATGAACTACAAATAAAACTAATAGTAATTAATAATGAAATCGAATAAATATTTATATATATGCACGTAATAATTATGCAATATGTAATTTTGTTTTGTACGATCTAAATTATTTTTAAAATAATCTTAATTACGAAGAAAAGAAATTTTGCGTTTATTTTTCACCTTTTTCTACAATTCATGGCCATTACGCCATCTGTATCCATAACCGAGTGAGAAAACAAAAACGGCGAGCAATTAAAAGGCAAAGATTTGTTAAATAATGCCTTATTTTAATTTATATCGTATAATATCTTTGGTTAAACAAGTGAAATAGTTATAAATGTAAAAACATGCCAAAAATTAGAGAGTATAATGATGAAGCTATGAAATTGGACGAATGTTTTAAAGAAACCTTATCATGTGTCAGACCTTTTGTTTTAGCATTAACATCTCCTGAAAGTGCACAATTGTGCAAAATTTGGCTTAACAAATTAAATGCTGTTTCTTCACAACGCCGTCTAAGAAATGAATATCTCGCGGAATTATTCAGGCAATTAAAGACAGGACATATTGGAGGAGTTTTTAGTAGGCCTCCACCTAATGGATTTCTTCTACCATTACCTAAATCGTATCATATGGTACCTATACTAGAAATTATGAAATTCATTGTAATTGAAAAATAATTAACGTGTAATACAGGTCTGTATTAGCTCATCTGTAAGTAACTTATCAGACTTCACTATGAGATCTCATCATAGTTCTATAAAACCAAATTCAAAGTGTACTCAGCATCAACGACGTAAAACATTATTAAAACACCGTACGATGGACATTACGAGTATGAATAAATGTTTGCATGCTATGAATCTTTCCTCCACTATCAGTTACCATGATCAAAGTATAGTAAATAAAAAGTCGATTAAATACTTATGAGCGGCGTATTGATACACTGAGTACCATTATTGCAGAATTACAGGCTCAAAATGAATATCTAAGGAATCAGTTGTCAGAATATCAAGAAAATTATAACAGAAACATGAATGATTACTTATCTTCAAGTATTAGTCAATTAACTACCGATATCACTACTTTAAAAGCTAAGTTAGTATGCCATTAATTGTAATTTCGACGAAGCAATAGATTTTAAATATTTATAAATTGTTAAAGGCTAAAAGAGATGGAACAGTTGAAAAATTCTATGGATGAAAGTTACAAAGAGGCTGTACAAGAATATCATTTCACAGTAGTAGAACAATTCACTGAACTAAAACAACAGTTGAACGAGTCTCGATTGAAAAGCGAGGCTCTGGACCATAGTATAGTTCTAATGGCTAAAAAGTTGGAACAAATCAGCTATGGTAAGGTAAGAAATAGACTTTTTATTTGTAAAATGAGAATTATAAGCCATATTTTAAAGGATGAGCAAAGTAAAATAATGGAACAACAATGGATAGATAAAATAAAGACGATATATGAGCAATTTGATTCGTTTACAAAAGAGAAGAATAAAGAATTACAACTAAAACAGAATTTACTCGAAAAAAAGGACACAGAATTATCAAAAAAGGATGCAAGAAGAAGGGAAGAAATTGAATTACTAATTAATAAAATACACGATTTAGAAACGAAATTGGAAATGAAAATTACAGATGTATTTCTTTGTAAATTGTAGAATATTTAAATATGTTTAAATTTAAATATACTACTGAATAGTACTGTATTTCTCTTAGGAGGATAAATTACAAAAAATAATAAACGAACAATATACCGTAATGAGGGAAGAGTTAAATAAAATGAGAACTGAAATGGATCATGAAACTCAGAAACAAAATCAAAATTTAACGTCTCAGGTTTCTGCTTTAAAAAAGGCTATTGTAAAATTAGAAAAATCGAAAGAGAAACTCGAATACAATTATGAAAAGAAATTGTCGCACATAATCAAGGTAAATTAACCGAAATATTATACCGTTAGGAATTTAGTTATATTTTATTTGTTATATCATAGAATAAAGATATGGAAATCAAATTCTTGCATTTACAACTGCAAAAACAAAAGAACGAATTATACACATCTCTAAGTACAGAAAAGCAAAATGAAGTGGATAATATAGCCTCTGCGTTAGAGAAGCGGTACAAAGAGCTTTTGGCAGAAACAGAAGCAATGTCAGAAACTAAAACTCAGGAGTATCTCATGGTATCGCACGCCGTAAATTTTATTTAAAAGTAATCTAAATACATATACGTAATAAGACATTAATAGAAATAATTAAATATTTTAGAGAATAGCTATTCTTGAAGGTCAAATACTTAATATGAAGAAATTTGAGTCGAGCTTATAAAATAGTAAATCTCGTAGTAGTTTATAGTTACAATTATATTATAATTATATTATATGTATATTATATATATGTTTATTCTTAATAAAGGATACAAAACAATGTAAGTATACTTTTTTAAGTGCTTTCAATACTTCAATAGTCAGTGTTAGTCAAGAGATGGCGCTAGGTTTTCATATTGCTATGGTAACACTTTATAAACTAAGTTCTGAGTTGTCAAATGTGACAGTAGGCTTCGTTTAATCAAAATTTCTAACAGATATTATAATTCCTAACCATTATTTAATATTTATACATACTAAATTTCCCATATACATACACATATATGAGTAAAATATTTTCTATGAAAATAAAAAGAATTAATAAATATATAGTTATAAACATCTATTTAAATAGAAGTTTTTATTTATTTTTATAAATTTAAAAGAGCTAATTTAGATATTGTTTGTACATAACATCGATATTAATAATAAAAATATAACAATGTCACTCTATTTTGATACGCGTGTACAAAATCCAGAAACAGCTTCAATAAGCACTCATGCAATTTGGCATGTCAATTATCCATTACTGGCTGTCGCAGCATATTCTCAGGATAAAGGTGGCTTTGTGACAATATATGATGATCAAGGAGAACCTACTCAGGATGTAGAGTCACCTAGACATTCGGTTGCTCAGGTGACTGCTCTTGAATGGCATCCAGGAAAGCGATGGCTTACAGCAGGATGGGAAAATGGGGAATTATGGGTCAGCAATCGTTTAAATTTAATAATATCCTAGAACGATAGAAATTGGGATATATTATTATAGATTATCACATGTAGGTATGGCCAGGTGATACTGGTAGTACAGAATTTAACTTCGTAGTTACACCACATCGTGATCCTATTACAATTCTGCAATGGAGTCAACACGGAGGAAGATTAATATCTGCGGATTCAGCTGGATCTATAGTTGGTTGGAAGATTGATTCGAGAGGTCAATTGTTAATGATGTTTCACCATGAGCTAAAAGATTCTTTTGCACAAATAGTATTCAAAACTGTTCCACCAAAATCAATGATGGATATAAGGTGAACACAAAAATCATGTCTTACATTTCTATTTATTATAAAATATTTTCTTTTTCATTCTTACATTGATTTCAATTCCTTTCAGTGGTCTAGCAAAAGCTGCAGTCGCAGGAGATGAAAGAGCATTAGATATATTTAGCTCTTGGCGTCCTAGAACAGCTGTACCAACAACGGTCGTAACGCAGAGAGATAACCATGCCTTTTACATTGGAACCACTAATGGTGTAATATATTTTGTCGATAACCAAGGGCAGTGTACAGAAATTCTGAACACAAATGGTGCAACGTTACAGTTCCTATTACATCATCAAACTAGAGATTCTCTAGTTGTTATGACAGAAGGTTTAAATATAGGGCATTTTCAGACAGATCCTATTACTGGTCGACTGACTGAATTAACAAAAGTGACTACATTTTTTCTACCTTGTCATTTTGCTACAATCTAATACGCAAATTTTATGAAATTATTTTTTACTCAGGTGAAACTTAGCAGTAGATATGATATATTGCGAACTGGCCCGGCGATGTGTTGGATTGGAACAAATACTTTAGCGATTCTTACAGGAGAATTGGGTGTTCGTTGTTGGGATCTTCACACTGGCGATAATTACGTGTTATCTCCGCCAGATTCATCTACTGGAAATATGGCTACACCACAGGAAATCTGTACAAGCATATCTTTTTGTAAAAATAACGGTAGCGTAAACATTTTATTTACAAACATGACATGCATTACTCAGAGATAGAGTTATAGATTTCATAGACATGCATTGTTTAATTGGTCATTTTAATATTACATACCAGGTACTTTGGCTGCTGGAACAAATTTGGGAACAATTTATATATGGAAACGTAAAATTGAAATGGACTGTGATGAAAACGGTTGGCCAAATGTGCCAGAATCTTGCAGCATTCATGGTACGGTAAAACAGCTTACATGGGGTGCGGCATTTTTAAGAAGTCCGCTACTTGCCGTAAATTGCATTACTAATGTCTTTATATTACATCAACAACCAATGTGTGCTACATATAATGATGGCGTTTGTGCTAGTCAACTGAGTCCTTGCCAAATTTTAATAGAATTCAGTGAGCAGAATTACACTTTAAAAACTGATATTCAAGTGCAACTTGTTGCTATCAGTAAACATTACATCGCCGTTTCTTCTGGTAGACAAATTGTGGTATATAAAATTCACGACGATGCATCTTTGTACACTAGCTTAATTTCCAGTTTTAGCTGTGATACCGAGAAATTATTGATTTATGATCACACTTTGGTCGTCCTAACTTCTGTAGTTATACAATTACGGTCAATGGAGGGCACTGTCATTCAGATGTTACCTACGTTACCAGAAGAGGGTGAACCAATTACTATGGATCTTACTGGACAATATTTAACAGTCGCATCTTTGAATGGTATCTTAAAAATTTGGGATTTGAGCAAGCGAGAGGCGAAGTTGCACACCAGAGCAATGCCAGCTTACGAAGCGATAAGTGATTTTGCTGAAATTATCGAAGCACGGTGCAATGCTGATTGTCGTTGTGTATCTATTACCGTTGCAATGGCTAATTTGATGCCCAGTTCTATTTTGTACGTCTGGGACATAGAAAGCGATCAGATACATGAATTTGATTTTACAGAGTCTAACGATATAGATGATGACGATACTGCTTTATCTGTAAAGTGTAGAGGCAGGCTGGTTACTGCTCATTGTTGGGACATAGAAGATCCCAGATTATTAGTATGTCGAGCACAAAGATTGGACACACGGGATTCCAAGCATTCCTCAAAGCAAAATAATGAAAACGATTACGACATCTCAAGAAGCACTGTGGTTTTGGTATCGATGTTTGCTACATCAGATCACGGAATTGTTGTGCAGGATATAAAACCAATTAAAGATGAAAATTGCAGAATTTTGGGTGTTCATTCCCCATATATCATTATTTTAAGCTCTGAGAATTCGGTAGAAAAAGTTAGTAAAGTAATACAATTGTTCATGAGAGACTTTGAAGACTTGGGTGTATGCGATCCTATCACGAAGAAAGCCGTACTAGATTTCAGTTTTCATATCAGCGTTGCTAATATGGAGGAAGCTTTCAAGTCGATTAAATCCATCAAAAATGAAGGTATTTGGAAAAGTTTAGCAAGGATGTGTGTGAAAACAAAGCAATTGAACATGGCGCTTTTGTGTTTGGGCCATATGAAACAAGCCAGAGCAGCGAGGGCTCTGAGAGAAGCTATGCAAGACGACAATTTAAACTTGGAAGCCAAAGTAGGAACGTTAGCAGTCGAGTTAGGATTATATAATGACGCTGAACGACTTTTTCGTGAAGCGAAAAGATTGGATTTACTGGGCAAGCTTCTTGAAGCGCGTAATAAGTTTAAAGAAGCTATAGAGCTGGCGAAGAATGAGAATAAAATTTGTGAGAAAACAAGTTATTACAACTATGCGAAGGCTCTCGAGCAGGAAGGAAAAATAGGGGAAGCAATAGAGATGTATACCAAAGCAGAATGTCACAGATTTGAAGTACCAAGGATGTTGCTTGTGAGGCCCAGGGAACTATTAACGTATCTTAATAATTCTGAGGATCCAGAAATAAAGAATTGGCATGCACAGTATATAGAATCGACTGGAGATATGGAAAGAGCATTGAAATTATACGAACAAGCTAAGAACACTCTAGCGATAACAAGATTGCTTTGTTATTTTGGTAGAGAAGATGAAGTTAGCGAACTGGTATCGAGAACAAATCATGCTGCCTCTGCGTACCATCTAGCTGCACACTATGAGTCAAAAAACAATGTGAGTCAAGCTATTCATTTTTATACCATTGCTAAGGCTTACACAAATGCAATTCGACTGTGCAAAGAACATGATATGTTTGAGGAACTATGGCCTTTGGCTGTATTAGCTCCAAAACAATCTCAGATAGACGTTGCAAAGTATTATGAAGAAAACGATCAATCGGATAAAGCAGTTTTGTTGTATCATAAAGCTGGTCTATTACACAAGGCATTGGATATTGCTTTTAACACAAAACAATACAGTGCTTTACAATTAATTATCATGGATGTCAACGCAGATTCTGATCCTGCTTTAATAGAGAAATGCGCTGATTATTTTGTTCAAAATGATCAGATTGAAAAAGCAGTGGATCTACTTGCAACAGGCAGAAAATACTTGGAAGCTTTAGAATTGATACAAAAGCATAATATTCTGCTAAGTGAAGATTTAGCTGAAAAGATGACGTTGGATAAAATTGACAACAATGTAGATCACGAAAAAATACGAATCTCTATATTAGAAAGAATAGGCGAAATAGCTTTTGAGCAAGGAAACTATCATTTAGCAACCAAAAAGTTCACCCAAGCTGGTAACAAACTGAGAGCTATGAAAGCCTTGTTGAAATCCGGAGATACAGAAAAAATTTGCTTCTTTGCACAAGTTTCTAGACAGAGAGAAATTTATATTATGGCTGGGAATTATTTGCAATCATTGGATTGGCAAAACCAATCAGAAATATTGAAGAATATAATTAATTTTTATTCCAAGGGAAAAGCAATGGATCTATTGGCCAATTTCTACGTTGCTTGTGCACAAGTCGAAATTGATGAATTTCAAAATTATGAGAAAGCTCTTGATGCTCTAAATCAAGCAAGTAGATGTTTGGCAAAAGTGACTACTCCGAGAGATCCTGATATTCACAGAAGAGCAGTGGATTTGGTGAATAATAGAATAGCAACGGTTAAGCGTTATCTTGATATCAAGAAGTATATTACTTTATTTTATATATGTATAATAGAAAAAATTAAAAAATATAGATATCTATGAAATATTCATGTTACAGATTGTTCGACAGAGGTGAAACTAATGCAGCAATGCAACAAGTGCGTCAATTGCTTGATTCTCAAGGAGCAAATTTGGAACAATCAGTTCGCCGTGGTGATTTATTTGCAACCATTACTCAACATTATATCAATATCGGGGATACTGATAAAGCACGTGCTAGTGTAGAAGAATTGAAGCGTTTAGTACCTGGAATTAATCTCGCTTATTATTATAATATGGACGTATTAGAAGCACTTGGTTACAAGATGAAAATACAACGACAAGAAAGTTCGGACAAAGAAGACGATATCGAAGAGCTTCTAGGCGAATAGTTAAATATAATATATATGTATATATATATATATATAATGAGAACGGAATCCGTCCAAAAGTATGATGATAGATGCTAAGTATTTGTAAGAATTAATTACAAAATGTTTGTACATTATAATTTGAAAAATATAGTATGAGTTTCATCTAAAATGTGATGTTTCATTCTATGATCATAACACATTTAGAAAAAAATCATTATTTAACGTTTATTAGTTCAACTTATACATAAACAGCCTTAAGTTTTAATGTTTGAATATGTTCTGAAAAATAAAAGTTTAAAAATGATTATAATTTCAATAACATAATTAGCAAATTAAACGCTGCCAATTTCTTATTGGATATAAAATAAATATACGAATTATAGAAATAGTAAAGAAAGAAATGAAATACATAAACATATGAGTAATTGACAAAATAGATAGAATCAAATCAGGATATACTGTTCATTCCTCCGACATCTCCGACATGCAGAGTCTTTCCAGTGGGATTGCCGATATTTACCCTATTTTGGTCCAATGCTAAAAATTACATTTTTTATAAAGGTTCAAATTTTCACTGCGCTAAATAAAATAACAAGGTACCAAGAACATCTCAAATGCACCAAACTCATTCAAACAGTTTTCTCTGGCGTTGGTTTCTTGCATGGTGACGTGACCTCTGTCTCTAGCTCATCGCCTTTTCGTTTCTTACGCACCAAATGAGATATATCACTAGCAGGTTTTTGAACTTTAGGTGCAGAATCATTGCTACCACTTGGTCCGGCACTATTTGAACAACCACCAACTACTTTGCTTTTGATACCCTCTATGACGAGTTTGCAAGCCTCCTGTTTGAAGTCTTTCATATCCGAGATCTTTTCTTGAATTTCTGGCAGCAGCTCTTTCAGTTCCTGAATCTCCCCTTCCACCGTATAAAAAGAATCATCTGTTTTAGGAGGCTCTTTCATTTCTTCCAATTCTTTGATACGCGTCTCCAGCAATTCCGTAGCTTTGTTAAATTCCTCAATGCTAGCATCGAATTCATTACCTAAAGAATAAGCCAATGCAAGCTGATAGTGAATCTCGGCTATTGCCCTTGGCTCTTGTGGCTCAATCTTTTGCAAAAGTTCCAGACATCGATGTAGATCGTTCAGGGCACCCTGAAAGTTTCCTCCCTCCATAGCCACTTCTCCCAATAGTCGATAAGCATCAGCTAATAACTTCCAACCCGCTTGACCGCGCTTTAACAGCACTAGTTTTGCTAACTCTAGCACTTCCCAAGCGACCTTTAATTTAACAGTAATTTTTCTTAAATCTCATGAAATGAAATCCAATAGAAGTTTTATAAGATATTATTAAGTGAATTTTTTATAATTGAAAACAGTTTTTCTCTGAAACCGCATGTGATACGTAAACAACAAAAAGAAAAATCAATGTTTTTATAAGATATGACAAAATACAATGATTTAATATGATCAGATATCAAAAATAAAAAGAGGAAACAAAATTAAATAATTTCAATTACCTGTAAATTGTTGACTTCATCTTCTTCATCTTCCTTCTCTATGTCCTCACTATCATTTTCTCCATTTTCCTTCACAATTCCGTTCTGTTCAGTGGAACAAGAAGGGCCATTAGCGTGATTTGTATCTTTACTGGATCCAGCAGCAGGTTTCTCATCTTCTTCTGGTTTTTCTACCGTTTGTTCCGCTGTTTTACTATCTTCAGTCTTATTAGAGTCTGTCTTTTCCACTTCTTTCTTTTCAGTGCTCGTTTCTACCTTCTTCTCTTCTTTCTTCTCAACTTCCGACTTCTTAGGTTCTTGCTCAGCTTCCAACTCTTCAACTTTCTCCTCGGCTTTCTCTTTTCCTTCACTGGCTGTTCCATTGTCCGTGTGTTCTTCATTCTCCTCCTCCTCCTTCTCGTCTACGTTGCTCAATTTTTCGTCCTCAGCTTCTTCCTCGTCTTCCTCATCGTCTTCCTCAGTTTCTTCTGTGCCTGGTACTCCGCCACCCAATACTGCGGCCTCCTCTCTCGCTAAACCGAGAAGAGCACGACCGTACAGTAAATAAGGTTCGCCAAGCTCGTCCGCGGTGTCCCCGTGTTTTTCAACAAGTAGCTGGCAGGCTTGCGCCAACGCAGTTACAGCCATGGTGTAATCCCGAACTAGCAGGTGCCGTTTCCCATGAGAGATCGCAGTCGCTGGGTCAGTGAAGGCTGCGCTCTCAGCAATGTCGGCCATCTGCAATGTAAAACGTAAAAAATATATATCTGTGTATAAATATAAATGTAAATGTAAATGATATATATTTAATATTTATATATAATGAATAAACAATAAATCTATATTTCCTGTTGAATTTTTACGATTGCTATTTTGTAAATAGATTATGAATTGTTAAGCATTTGTGAAAAATGTAAATATGCAGAAATATATGAAACTTCTGAAGTGAAGTCCTTTTAATACTTATAATACTTAGATCTTGTTATAATATTAACATTATTTTATATTTCGCAATAAATTTCTACAAAATTTAATTTCTGCACCATTTGATATGTATAGACAATCAAGATTTAGCTAAAAAAAAAAAAAAAAAAA